CTTAATCTTTATTAATAAAATATTAAAATTTTAAAAACAACATTTTAATTATTATTTTTTAAAAAAACAAAGTTAATTTATTAAAACGATAATACTTAAAATATTATAAAATAAAACCCAGCTCATTGACAGTAAGCAAGTCACCCTTAAAAACCATATTTTTCCCTAAGGGAAGAATCATCTTTGCATAAATTGTGAAATCTTGCTTTCACTTTGAAGATAGTCACCATCATTTCTTAAGGTCAGAGGGGAAAAAGGACTTTTTTTGTCTTAAGTCAGCTTTTCTTTAACTGTGGCACCTTGCAAAACATTGGCAGCAATGGTGGGTTTCACATTATGTTACTATCGGTTCGCCATGCACATGCACATTCTCTTCATGCGCCCGGTTCCCACATGTGCCCACCTGCAATTTCTGGTACTGGTTCAGGAGAACCTGTCCGAACTGGCTGAATACCGCTTCTGATTGGCAGGCTGTAAATTATTCCCTCCCAGGGTTGACATATGGCAACCATTTTATTTTTCCCTCACTTATGCTGCATTGCAATTCACTCTTCAGAGTGAGGGATTAAATCAGATGACAGAATTTTGCACAGAATATTTGTGCTCTCCACATATAATTATATCTGCTGCATTAAAGAAAACAAACCAGGCTTCAAATAGGATTCTGGAATGGCCGTGTTTCTTTGCAAATGAAGTCTCTTAATTAATATAAGCAACTATAAGAAATTGAAAAAAATAAAATAAAAGTAATAAAAATAAAATAAAATAAATAAATAATCAAATCAAATCTGTAGTGTATTTTAGGTTTAGGTTTATTTGATTTGTATACTGCCCTACTCCCGAAGGACTCAGGGCGGTGAACAGCCAACAATAAAATACATAAATACACAAAATTTAAAAACCCGATAAAATCAAATTAAATTATTTGGCCCAGACAAATTAAAATGCCCCAATAATTTAAAAACAGATTAAAATTTACGTATTTAAAAAGGGAAGAGATCAGGCCAAGTCCGCTTGATGGAATAAAAAGGTCTTCACAGCACGGCGGAAGGAGCGCAGATCTGGGATTTTGCAGGCCTGTTCAGGCCTGCAAAAGTAAAAAAGACACTTTCTGGCAACCTTCCATTTATTGTCTCATGTCTGCCTGGTGTCATGACCTAAAAACACTGGCCTACTCACTGATGGCACCCTGTCTGTGAAATACTTTCAAGAAATATTTATTGTACAAGAAGGCAACTCTTGGCCTAGATTTGCTAAAGTACGATGCTCAGCATTCCTTGCTTTAAGCCATCTTCCCTACAGCTGCTGAAAACTGATTCAGCACCATCTGGAAGGTCATATGCCGTCTGTGCCTGGACTCTTGCGATAATATTTCAACACTAGGCAAACATCATACCTAGACAGACAGACAGCTATAGACAATTTTTTCCAGCTATCTAATATTTAACTAACTGTTTTTTATGTTCAATTATTATTATTTTCTCAAAAAAGAATGAGTGTCCACGATATATAAAAATCTTTTTTATTTTAGCTGTCCGATTTTTGTGCCTTTAAAAAAAAAAAAAACTAGACTACATTTTTTTTGTCAGTAAAGGTACCTAGACTTTGATGTTTCAAGTAACAAAACTATTGCTGTCATGGCTCCCTGGAGAAATTTTTCTTCCCGCTTAATTGACCAATTATTACTACTACTCAGATCATAGCCTCTCTCAGCTTTGCTTCTTTCCTTTCCTTCCTAGTTATCTCTCTCTCTCTGTTACTATATTAAATGAGCCTCTTCCTCCTTCAGTGGGGCAGTGGTCATACTTTTCAGCTTTTTAATTTCTTTGTATAAATTTGCCTGTTAATAACTTAGCCATATTATGCCCAGTCATTTCTGCTTTTATATATAGCATTCAGTTACTCATTCCTTGAAGCAACTTGTTGCTTTTCTTCTTACTATACAGATTTCATTTCTGGCCTTTTCTTTCAATGCTATGTGATAAAACATCTGAACCAGAGCTTCTTCTGCTTTTGGATGTCTGATTTAGTGAAGGTTATATTTCATCAATTATAAACTGTAATGGAACTGCACAAACATCAATGGGTGAAGTGCAAATGATAGAATAAAATATAAGCCATCAAGGTTTATAACCTGTCCATCATCACCATCTCAACAGTTAGATATTTGTTGTGGCCCTCAAAACCAAGTTCTTTCCTTGCGCAGTTGAACCACTGTGGTATGGTGGCTAAGGAAATGGATTAGGCCCACAAAGGCCCACACCCAATCCATCCTCAGATGTGGAAAATCACAGAGTGATTTGGAAGCTAATCACTATCCCTCAACCCATCTCACCTCGTAGTTTAGACTGATGGGGATAAAATGAAGGAAGATCCCCATATCAGCTTTCTTGAGTTTGTGAAGGAAGGGCAAAATAATTTTGAGGAGAAAGATAGCTACCATAAGAAAGAAAAGAAAAAGACTGATGTACTGTAGTGACTTGGCTTTCATTCCCAGGACCACTGGACATTATGCATTTACTTAGAACAATCTGGAATTAAAAGTTTTGACAAAGCTATCATTTTTAAAGGGCGTATATTTATTCCTAGGAAAAAAAGAGGCTGTAGACAAGAGGAGAACAGTTTCATCAACCTTAGCAATTTTAAGATGTATAGGCTTTAGGTCCCAGAATTCCACCAATCAGGATGCTGGATGGAGAATTCTCAGAGTTCTATAAGTCCACAAACTTATAGTTACCAATGTAAAGAAACTGAATGATTATATTTATAAGTAACCCTCTCATAAGTACAGGAAACTCCATTGCACTTCATTTCTCTGAAAATTCTCGTCTTTCAAAAGAAATTTCAAAAGCTAAACTCCTTCATATAATATGAATGGAGATACTTGTGTGTAGTTCAATGGTGGTTTTTAAATTTTTTTACTACCGATTCTGTGGGCGTGGCTTGGTGGGCGTGGCATGGCTTGGTGGGCGTGGCTTGGTGGGCGTGACAGGGGAAGGATACTGTAAAATCTCCATTTCCACCCCACTCCAGGGCAAGAATACTGTAAAATCTCCATTCCCTCCACACTCCAGGGAAAGGTTACTGCAAAATCTCCATTTCCTCCCGATCAGCTGGGACTCGGGAGGCAGAGAATAGATGGGGGCAGGGCCAGTCAGAATTTTGACTATTGGTTCTCTGAACTACTCAAAATTTCTGCTACTAGTTCTCCAGAACTGGTCAGAACCTGCTGAAACCCACTTCTGGTGTGGTTGTATTTCTGCATAGCATTAGCTGGAATCAGAGTAGGGCAGTGATGGCAAACCCTTTGGGCTGGGCATGTCAAGAATTTGGAAAATGCCTAACGACTTTGCTGGCAGGTGTCACATATAGACACGCTCCAAATAAAAGAGAAACAGTTTTTTACAAATTCATGTATAATTCAACACACAACTTCTTCACATGAATGCAAATGCTGATTTTACATGATTGCTGACAGTGTACTCATTTTACAAACTAAAGTTGCAGGTGTCCTCTGTGCTTGCACCTTGAAAATGAGCTTTGCTGCAGAAACAACCATTTTATGGCATGGCTTGAAGACACAACTGAACCAGAGGTGGTATTCAGCAGGTTCTGACCAGTTCTGGAGAACCAGTAGTGGAAATTTTGAGTAGTTCGGAGAACCGGTAAATATCACCCCTGACTGGCTCCATCCCCATCTATTCTCTGCCTTCTGAGTCCCAGCTGATCAGGAGGGAATGGAGATGTTACAGTATCCTTCCCCTGTCATGCCCACCAAGCCACGCCCACCAAGCCATGTCACACCCACCAAGCCACGCCCACAGAACCAGTAGTAAAAAAATTTGAATCCCACCACTGAACTGAACAATGTGGCTACCATGTTTTTATCACATTTTGCAAGTTGATCTCTCTTACACAATACACCGCCATTCACAATTCTGAAGATGACAGATCACATGGTGATAAGGATGGTGAGAATTGATTTTCAGCTAGTACAAGATTACATATTTTTTTGTATTTGTGTTTGTTCAGTTTTTTGGTAATGCAAGCAGGGAGCAAAGTTGCAGCTGAATGTTGGTGAACATTGGCCTGTTACCCAAAACATTGTAGCAAGTCATCTTTGACATGCATGTCACAGGTTCACCTTCACTGGTATAGGGTGATCATGAGATAGCTTTTTTAATTACATCATATGATTCTTTGATTTTTAGCAGCTGGGTGTAGTATTCCATGCTTTGTAACTTACGATGTTATAAAAACCCAACCTAGGGGTGTCTGTGGATAGAAGTTAAAAACAAAAAGGCTAAAGTTTGCTATTGCAATATATTAAACAACTGTTTAACTTAGCAACAGAAATGTTGGGCTTCATTATGGTCATAAGCAGGGGTATAATCCAGCAGGTTCTGACAGGTTCTGGAAACCCGATAGCGGAAATTTTGAGTAGTTCGGAGAACCAGAAAATGCCACCTCTGGCTGGTCCCAGAGTGGGGAGGGAATGGAGATTTTGCACTATCCTTCCCCTGCCATGCCCATCAAGCCACGCCACACCCACCAAGCCACACCCACAGAACTGGTAGTAAAAAAATTTAGATATCACCACTGGTCATAAGTCAAGGACTACCTGTCCTGTCCTGGAGAACTCATGATCACACACTTAATTGATGGGTGGAAATTGGCTATATTTAATTCCACCACCACCCCTGCAAAATACATCAAAAGAAGCTCAAAACTATTGTCAACCAAAGAGGATGGAATATCCTAAGAACATAGTACTGCTTACTGATTCAGGAAGAAACACTGGTTACAGGAAACATTTGATCTGATTTTTTTTTTAAAAAAAATAAAATAAAAATAGGATGTATGATTTAGGATAAAGTCTTATTTTATCCAATCTGTATTTATAGGAGTTTGCTGATTATACTACATAGAGAGTTCTGTGGTCTCCATGGCAACACACGATCTTTCACAAACATGTGGTATATACGACTGACCTTCTTGGAATTCTGTGGCGCTAAAGTTACAGCCCATAAAGCTAAAGTATTCATTTCAAGTTGTTTAAATTCATGTGTATTTTTTTTTTTTTGCAAAAGAATAATAAATACATTTAGCCTATTTGTATTTTATTGGGAAGTATATTTGCAAAGCTAGATTTTCCAGTTTATTAGGCTGAGCCATGACAGCTTAACCATCAAGGCAAGCATTTTATTTTTTTATGTGTATGTATTTTCTGAGAATGTGCATGGCATCTGGGTAGGATAGCTGGTGGTTAATGGAAAATGTCACAGCAAACAAGATTTTTTTAACATATTTATAATAATCATGATTCACCCATATGAACCTGGCCATTAAAAAGAATATATTTCTTGTGCCTGATTATGTTACATATTAACAGAAAGTGTATGTTACAGTAGATATAGATATATATATGATATAAGTATAGGTATATAAATATAGTTGATAGATATAGATATGGTATACACATACAATATAGTACATTTTATTGTATTAGGGGATATGATTATTTATTACATTTTTTTTGTTCCCTCTCTCCTGATTACAGGATAAATTGCAGGAAAATGTGACCTTATGGAAACCTTTTCCACTGGAATGAACTTCCCATTAAAAGAATCAACCAATGGAATTTTGCTTGGCTTCTGTCCATTGACCCAATCAATTGTTCACCACCATTTCTTTCAGCTTTATGTCCTAAAATCCTTTATGGATGGTCAGGAGGTGATCTTAAAACTTCCTATGGCTCATTAGTGGAATTTGGCAAAATTCCTAGGCAATGGCAAGTCAGTAAAAGAGCCTTCAGGCAAGGAATAGTTGCTAAGCTTCCTCTTGATACCTCACAGCTTTTTAAGAGATAGGCATTATCAATGCCCCATGCATATCATGAATTACTGAAACTTTGTGATGCTTAGGGATGTAAAATAATTCAAACACAGATCTTCTTGGGAATGGATTTGGGAGTTTTCATTCCCAGTCACTCTACAATGGAATAAAGGTAGTAAACATTAGGAAGAAATTAAATCCAATGGGGGCTTGTTTTCTTCATGGAAAAACTCCTTCCTTTTTTTTTTTTTACACATTTATGGGATAAGCAAGACTTTCTTTTTTTTTCACTGCAACAAAACCTTCCCATCCTTTGTGCATTATGAAGTTTTATCTCTGGTAACGCTATACTTCTAACTAGGGCATACAAAACCTTTGCCAGACCTATCCTTGAATACTGCTCACCTGCCTGGAACCCACACTGTATTTCAGACATTAATACATTAGAGAGAGTCCAGAGGTATTTTACAAGAAGAGTACTCAACTCCTCTGCCCGCAATAAATTTCCTTATACCACCAGGCTTGAAATTTTAGGCCTGGATAACCTTGAACTATGCCGTCTACGTTCTGACCTAAACTTAGTGCACAAGATTATCTACCTTAATATCCTACCTGTTAATGACTTCTTTAACTTCAACCACAATAACACAAAGGCTATCAATAGATACAAACTAAATGTAATTTGCTCTAATCTTGATTGTAGAAAATACGACTTCAGCAATAGAGTAGTAAATGTTTGGAACACTCTACCTGATCCTGTTGTTAGTTTCTCTAACCCCTGTACCTTTTACTTTAAACTATTTACCGTGGACCTTACACATTTCTTAAGAGGTCCCTAAGGGGGTGTGCATTAGCGCACCAGCGTGCCTACCGTCCATGTCCTACTGTCCTTATTTATATGTGCTCATTTTATATGTTTATGGCTATGTTTTGCCTATTTATATCCATTTATTTGTGCCATTTTTTTTCATGTGTCTGTGTCTATGTCTTTACTGATACTTGTTTCCTTGTACTTGTTGACAAACAATTAAATCAATAAAAAATAAATAAATAAATTAGTTGATTCTCCTCTGCAGCACTTCCTGGAATGGATATTTGTCCATAAGACTTGCTCATTCCAGGAAGCGTGCAAAGAAAAAGCAAGTCCCCGAGGAAGGCAGTGATTGTAGCACATTTGCATACAGATATTTCATTAGAAATCTGGATATAAATCTTATCGGTCTCTCAACTGGAAGGAAAAATCAGAAAGCAAAATAAAGGGGATGGGCAAAATTAAGGAGTCCTATAGAATCACGTGGTTCCTCTAGTTATCTCAATCAGCAGATACAATTACTTTAGTGCATGTGCCTTCCATTTACTGATTGATGTTGCAATGTATTCATATCTGGTTGGTCACTGATACCTGGAAACTGCCCTAGAAGCCCAGAGAGTAATTCAGCAGGGTTACTCTGCCAGACTCTAAAACACTGCTGTTCTTCTTTCACTGATCAACAGCTCAATACCTTAAGAACAACAGGCCTTTCAAAGTCGTTAGATGTCTGTTGCTGGCAAGGACTTCATAACTTGAAAATGTTTGTGATCCAAAGGATCTGTGCATTCCACACGAAGCCCTCAGACGCCAAAAGCTCAAAAATCTAAGCTATCTTTAGAAATCCCAGGACATTAAAAAGCTAGTGTGCTTTAGAAGAGGTATATTGTGTTCCATGGTTTTGCACAACCCAAATAACATTTAAGCATAAGCCTAACACATGAAATTGTTAATAGGTTTTGCTGTAAAACCCATAATATAATAAGAAAATAAAGTATTTAAAAAAACAAAGCACTTTGTTTCAGACTATGAAGAATGCCATGTAATTCTGGGCTAAGCTTGAAGAAAGCTGCTAAGTTTTTTTAAAAAATAAAAATTTATGTTAAATACTTTTGAGCACGGTTTTTTTTTTTTTTGACTAATATCAAACTCTTATAAAACTTGTAACTCATATATGCATAAGAAAGATATGGGAAAGACAGCACAAGGACAGACCTGTGAACATGACAATTAAAAAAGAGCCAATTTGTTCTAGTGATTCAGGTATCAGGCTACAAATTGGGAGATCATGAGTTCTAGTCCTACCTTAGCCATGAAATCCAGCTGGGTGAACTTGAGCCACTCATTCTCTCTCAGGCCAACCCACATCACAGGGTTATTGTTATGGGAAAAATAGGAGGAAGAGGCTGTGTTGGATATTTTTGCTGCCTTGAGTTATTTGAAAAAAAATATTAAAGGCAGGATGCAAATAAATAAAATAACAAACAAACAAAATATAAACTGCAGTCTATAGGACAGCATTTCTCAGGTTTGGCAAATTTAAGATCTGTGGACTTCAACTTCCAGAATTACCTACCCAGCATGCTGGCTGACAATTCTGGGCCTTGAAGTCAACACATCTTAAAGTTGCCAAGTTCAAAAAACATTGATTTAATGGGGTCATGAATGCTATTTGGATCTATCCAGAAATATGCTGACATGTGAAGTGATTTTCCTCCATATTACTTGAGGATTGGATTTTAAAAACCAGTAGCAATTGTATACCTGCCTTATTGGAGGCATTTTCGAAATCCAGTGGAATTGTGAAGAACAATAAATGATTGAGGTTTCTCCATTCCTCATATTGTGTACTTTAGAGTGGGCGGGGACTGTACTGATGACAACAGCCATAGAAATGCATTACAGTAAATAAAGGCAAAACAATCTTGGTCACTTTTGCATATTCAGAATATGCGTAACAGAGCTGATAATCTCCTGGATGTCTGGACTTTGGACAAAAGCTGGATTCCATAGGCACCAGAAGGTTTAATTAGGTCAGCCACTGTCATCAGAAAGTGAATGCGTGGTTTTCGCCCTGCTTAGATAATCAGAAGTGAATGGGCATTTCACCAGTCAGCATCCCACTGTGTTGACGAGGGTGGGCCAACTTTCTGTACTTTGTAACTCTGCATATTTGTTGGGTGACTCATTCAGTTCTCAATGACCAATTTGCATGAGAAAAGAGAGTGAAAGTGAGAGAGAGCAAGAGCAAGAGAGACTGTACATGAGCAAATAACATAGACGTTAAAACAAAACAACATTCACTTGCATCATTTCTGGACAGCAATGGCTTCCAGGAAAGTAAAACCTTCTCATGCATTAACACCTGTTGCTATGCCAACAGTTTACCAAAGCTTTGTTTGAGGCCTTGTATGGACACTGGCTCCCAAAATATTCACATCACCAAGTGAATATTCTGAGAAATGGAAAATTGTTGGAGAGGTGTTTCCTTGTCTGCTAACCTATAACTGAGAAGCAAAGTAGATAATTGTATTTATAACCTGTATACATATACAATAGATAAAAAAATGAGATGAATAGATCTTATTGATAAATAAATACATAAGGACACTTCCATCAGTCTCATGAATTGTGCTTTGGAGTTCTAAGGACAGATTCATTAGATGAATTTATTGGACTTATTAGTTCCATGGCACACTTCCAAAAGCTAGTGCTTACCATTAAGCACCTAGGTCTCTGCAGTGTCCCTCTGTCAATGGTGCTCTCGTTCTTCTTAAAAAGATGGTAAACTGGTTTTTTTCCCCCATCCAGGCCTTTTCATTTGGTGAGGTTTTAAAAAAAACGAAAGTGAAACTTTTAAATCAGAAGCCACAATAAGTAGCTTTCAAAAGAATAAATGCAATTAAAAATAAGAGAGATTACCTATAAATTATTAGAGGGAGGGGAACTGAATTGAGAGGAGGAATGATTTAGAGATTTATATCAGAGCAACAGCACTTAGATTTATATACCACTTCATAGTGCTTTACAGCCCTCTCTAAGCGGTTTACAGAGTCAGCATATTGTCCCTGGCAATCTGGGTCCTCATTTTACCAACCTTGGAAGGATGGAAGGCTGAGTCAACCTTCAGCCACTCAGAATTGAACTTTTGGAGTGAGCAGTGAGTTTGACCTGCAGTACTGCATTTTAACTACTGTGCTATGTTATGTTAGCGTCCAAGGGAAAAATGATAAAAAGGAAATAATAAATTCTGGGAGAATGTTTAATAATAATAAGGCTATAGGTACAGATGAATTGACTAGGTAAATATTAAACTATGGATATAGTGTCTTTATGAAATAACTGCAAATTGTTTAAAGGCTATATTTGTGCCTGACAAATGGAAGAATGTTGTCACTGTTTCAAAAGAAAGATTTGAACATTGATTGCAAACTGTTCAAGGTTCCTGGGATATGCATTTGGCAGGCTTCTGACCAAAAGGTACAAGAAATGGCAATATTAAACAATGTAGTTTAATATTTAATATAGTATAGTTTAATATAGTACAGACTATATTTACTGCTTTTAGTATTTCATTCAAATGCATAAATGTGAAGAACTAAAGTTTATTCTGGGTTTGTTGATTTAGAGCAGGGCTGTCAAACTTGCCACCTGCAGGCTGGATGCATCATACACTGGCCACGCCCACACCTGGTTTAGTGAAGGGAAAAAAGTTGTGATACGTCACATGATGCCGCCAAGATGACGCGAGTTTGACATCCCTAGAGGAAATTTAGAGGAAATTATACAGCTTTGAACTGTGAAAGTGCTACAGAAATATTGTCTTAAAAATCGATCACTGAATCAAGAAAATCACACCTGGAAATCAATAGTCTGCTTAAAGAATGACTCAATGTTGGACAGGAAGTAAAATCAAGAATGGATAATGTTTGCTGTATGAAAGGGAAGCTTGGGTGTTTCAGAAAAAAAGAAATAAATTGAAATGTTCAGAAATGGTT